CCCCCATCCTTCGTCCTTCTTCCCCACCCCCAACCCCTTCCCTCTCCTTTCCCTTCCTCATCCCCAAAATTCTTGCTTGTCCTCTCTAGGGAACTTTGTGGGGGTTACTGGCATGCACGCTGGATGGCGGTGATGTGAGCGGCAGCCGTGCTGTGACATGAAGATTCTGGTGGTTTAAAGAAAAGAGACCGGTTTTAAAAAGCGAGAGAGAGGCAAAGGGAAAGCAAAAAAGGGAAGAGAGAGAAGAAAACAGCTGGAGAAAGGAAGAGGCGGACGTTTGGATGACAAAAGGATGGGTAAGTGAACTTTTCTTGTTTGTTTGTCAGCACAGCTGCAGCTGCATGGTCTATTTTTCAGCTGGATTATTAGCTGTCCAAGAGGGGGAAACAGCCTAAGCAGCAGCAGTGCATTCCTCTGCCAGGTGACTCACTGTACTTGCGACTGTATTTTTAGATCATATATCCCCCCCATGCACGCACACACACACACACACACACACACCCCCCTTTCCTCCCGCAGTGCTTTTATATGTAATTAATCTGTTAATGCATGCACCCGGCGAAGGGCTGTGGAGCGCGGTCCCTGTGTGCACAGCCCGCCCCCGCACCTGCACACGTATAGATAAGTCCATGTATGCATGAGCCACGCTCCCACAAAATCCCTGCCGGGTGCATATTCAATGCCATCAGCCTGGAGTGGGATTATTCAGGCTGCCAGAAAGGACCGTTAACACTTCGCAGTGTGTGGGAAGCACAGGGGAGAGGGTGAATTTTCTCGTAGAGGTGGTTTGGAAAAGGCTGGTTTGGTCGGTGCAAAGATGCCCCTGATATTGGTGCTGGATTTCCAGCAGGCATTTGGCAGTCTGATTTTTTCAAGTGTGACAGGTTTATTCCCCTCCTTCCTTCCCCCGGCCCCCAGATCTGTAACAGCCTGAAGAGATTTTAGCTGGCTGCTGCTGCACATAGGCAGCACCAAAAGATGAGGGTTTAAATTAAAAATCTAACCCTTCAAGTGAAAGGCAGAGACACAGAGTCAGGGACGTTTTAGATTAGGAATTATTTTGCAGATTGCCCCCTGGTATAAAATTGGATTAAATAACTGCAGCGCAGGGTTGGTTTTGTGTGTGTGACAGATTATTAAGTAGTTATTTATGGAGGAGATACCAGCCCTTAAAATGCTCCCTGTTGAAAGAATGCATTTTAATTCCCAGCAAGATTGCAACTCTGGACAGAGGCACCAGCCCTAAAATTATTGCAGGCTAAGGCAGGCGTCCGTACGTATGTTGGATTTTCTGACAGCCCCTCCGATCCCTTTCATAATTATTCAGAGAATGTGGAAAATGTGACTGTCCTCACGTAACAGCATTGCCACTGTGTGATCAGTTGGACATCTCAGATGCAAAATCTGAAAATCAGGGTTGCTGTGGGGAGTTGAGACAGAAATAGACCCCTTTAAACTTTCCGTGTTTTGCTGCTCCTCAGGCAGTGTTTATATGCAGGTATTTGTGTGTACGTTTTCATGTCTGTACAAAATCATAAATGCTTAGGTATTCACTGCTGCGTGTCGATAACTTTAATATGTGTTCAGCCCATGATTCATTTTAAAGAAATATGCCTTCTGCCATTAGCTTGGTGTTGAGGTCCCATACCAGCATTCTGTGGTATACTTCCCTAGAAGGTTGAGCTTTATTTCTGTGCATCTGTTTATATATTCTAGGTACATAAAATAACGAGTAAAGCTACTTAAACCTACCCTTCAGAACAAATCACTCCGTGCAAAAAGTAAAGCCTTTGCTTGCTGCTTAATTTTACAATGAACACACATTTTAAAGGTGGCTCAAACTTTATGACGAGTAGATTTCTCACTTTCTGCAGTAATTTTTGGAGGAATTGGCCTTGCAATTGCTTTTATTCAGGAACACGTTTAGCAGCACGTCAATACCAGCAGCTTTGGCTCATTTCCTCTCCAGTACTATGGAGCATTCAGCACAGTGACTTGACAAATATGTTTATTGTTAAAAACCTCAGCATCTAGCGATAAGGATATCCCAGCCACACTGAGAGATGATGTACAGGAGAAAAGCGAATAGAGAGCAGGCTCTTGGTCCTTCAAAGGGATCATAAATCACACAAAAGTAATTGAATAACAAGAGTGGGACTGGTGATGGTGCGGGCAGCAGGGATGGCAAGGCAGGAACTCCAAGGAGCAGGCATTTACACAGCAAAACGTGCAAGACGAGAGGCAAACAGGTTGTCTTCCAAATCCACTGCTTTCACTAATGCTTTAGTAGAAACCCCACTGACGTTAGTAATCTGCCGGCGATTTATTTTAATAGCTTCACAATGCACATTTGTTTTCTGTTTAATATTGTAGGTTTCCATTTAATTAAGCAGCTGAGAGGCATGAGCGTGGTGTTAGTGCTGCTTCCTATGGTGCTGTTTGTTCTGCTCGCGGGGGCTCAGCGAGCTTGCCCCAAGAACTGCAGATGCGATGGCAAGATCGTGTACTGCGAATCCCATGCGTTCAGAGACATCCCTCAGAATATTTCCGGAGGGTCTCAAGGCTTATCGTTACGGTACAACAGCATTCAGAAGCTTAAATCGAATCAGTTTGCGGGCCTGAATCAGCTCATATGGCTTTATCTTGACCATAATTACATCAGCTCCGTGGATGAGGATGCATTTCAGGGGATCCGCAGGCTGAAGGAATTAATTCTGAGCTCCAACAAAATTACCCATCTGCACAACAAAACGTTTCACCCGGTCCCCAACCTCCGCAACCTGGACCTCTCGTACAACAAGCTGCAGGTGTTGCAGTCCGAGCAGTTCAAGGGCCTTCGTAAACTCTTGATCTTGCATTTGCGCTCCAACTCGCTGAAAACCGTGCCCATCCGCGTGTTCCAAGACTGCCGCAACCTGGACTTCCTGGATTTGGGCTACAACCGCCTGCGGAGCTTATCCCGTAACGCTTTCGCTGGCCTTTTGAAGTTGACAGAGCTCCACTTGGAGCACAACCAGTTTTCTAAGATCAATTTTGCCCACTTTCCACGCCTCTTCAACCTTCGCTCGATTTATTTGCAGTGGAATAGGATCCGCTCCATTAGCCAAGGGTTAACGTGGACTTGGAGTTCTTTGCACAACTTGGATTTATCAGGCAATGACATTGCAGGGGTAGAGCCCGGGACCTTCCAGTGCCTCCCCAACCTGCAAAAGCTGAACCTGGATTCCAACAAACTCACCAACATCTCTCAGGAGACCATCAACACGTGGATCTCGCTCATCTCCATCACGCTGTCCGGAAATATGTGGGAATGTACTCGAAGCATTTGCCCTCTGTTTACTTGGCTTAAGAATTTCAAGGGAAATAAAGAAAGCACTATGATATGTGCAGGCCCTAAACATATCCAGGGTGAAAAAGTGAGCGATGCTGTGGAAACCTATAATATCTGTGCCGAAATCCAGGTGGTGGTTACTGAAAGATCGTACCAGACTCCCAAAACCCCCCAGAGACCCATCTTCATTCCCAAACCCACCGTTTCCAAACTCGAAAGCAACCAGCCGACGTCCGCTGTGCCAAGCCCTTCTGCAGACCTCCCGACGCCCGGAGTGGAGCCGGAGTACGAGCACGTTTCCTTCCACAAAATCATCGCGGGGAGCGTGGCCCTTTTTCTTTCGGTGGCCATGATTTTGTTGGTTATCTACGTGTCCTGGAAGCGCTACCCGGCCAGCATGAAACAGCTCCAGCAGCACTCGCTCATGAAGAGGCGCCGAAAAAAGGCCCGAGAGTCTGAAAGGCAAATGAACTCCCCTTTACAGGAGTATTACGTGGACTACAAGCCAACAAACTCTGAGACCATGGATGTATCGGTTAATGGATCTGGGCCCTGCACGTATACCATCTCTGGCTCCAGGGAATGCGAGGTATGAACCATGATCCTCCTAAAACCATTTCAGCTGCTGGGAAGGAGAGGTAAATGTTTGAAGCTCTTGAGGTGTCTCTTAAACACTGGAAAGATTAATGAGATTGCGGGTTTTTTGTCTTTGGGTTTGCTCGGTATGAAAGGTTATCTCATTAAATACCAACAGTCAGGGAAGTGATGGTGATGATTTTGAATAATTCAGACTTATTAAAAAAAAACAGATTATGTTGCAGTAAACAACATTGATAAAGGCATCTGAGTGGTGTTCTCCTCCTGTTCGCACCAAATTTATTAACAGTGGCTACAACAGTCCCATTTTTAATGTGTTGGTAGAAACGGAGGTGTTCAAGAACCTTTTCTGTTTTAAAAATACCAATGGAAACCTCTTAACTCCAGACCCCACATCAAATCTTGAGGGGTTTATGGCCTATTCAAAGGTGATGTCAAAGATTTTCTGCATTTTCTGTCTGGTTCAGGAGTAAACCAGGGGACGAGAGGTCTGCAGCACAGCCTTGAGTTGGGCACCTGCTGGTTGTGTTGGGGAAGCAGCAACGTGCGGGCTGCCTCGCTGGCCTTGTAAAAGCCCCGGGTACAGCACGTTTGCAGATATCTGGGTTGGGAGAGGGGGATTGTTGGGGTTTTTTTTCATTTCATTTTCATGACCAGTGAAGGTTTAGCTCGAGAGCCAACTCTGCTGGAGTTAGGAGCTCCGTGTGCTGAAGGCCATGTTATGACTTTGACTCAGCAGCATGGGGAATGCAGACAGGAAAAGCTCTGGGTGCTGCTTGTGTCTGTTGTTCAGCTTTCACAACAAAACAATGTATTTTATCATTACTGTATTGTCTGTTAACATTCTATTAATGTCTCAGGCAAGAAATGTTTTTACTTGTGAATGCCATTGCTTTGTTTATACCTGGTAAGGAGGATTTGTGCAATTGCATTTCAGCACTTGTTACTTAATCCTGCTCGTGATGCGTTATCAGGGGACCACGGCTGATTTGGCTTCCTCGTGGCCATCCTCCCCGAGTGCCGAATGTGCCTGTTGAGACGTATTTGTAGCCATTTAGACAGATTGGGTTTGACCGTGGTAGATTTTGCCCGGTGTCTGTGACAGCCGGGTAGTGTGAAAGGTGTGATAAGGATGAGCCGTGCTGAGCAGGCTGCAGTGGAGGATCCTCATTTTTACAAGTGGCTGTTTTCACTTTCTGACAATAGGGCATCTTGAAGATGTTTCCTATTTGGCACCTGAAATCCCCAGCTGATTTTGGACCACGGAGCTAAGGCGAAATAAAAAGTCTTATTTCTCTAGAGCAGCGTTGTCTTCAGAAAAGAAAACCATCTGTCAAGCCCTTGTCATTTCTACCAGTATCATGTGAATGAAGGTGTGGGGTTTTTTTTCCTCTCAGCAGCACAAGTAGAAAGTAACTGATGCTAGCAAGTTATTTTGAATTTTCACTGGCTGTCACAAAGAGCATTAATTTGACCTGAAAGGCTGTCTCCTCTTCATGCTCAAGTTTAATGGCGTTGAAGTTTCATTAGCTTGAATAAAATGCTGTTTAATTTACACCAAGATGATCTGGAAGCCCGCTGAAGCTGCACGCCATAACAGAGTCCATGTAATGAAACCGTAACCTGGAACGGAATTTGGGTCAGGGTTGTAGTGCACAGAAGATAGGGAATGTGTGATGCTGTTTGAGACGCTGAAATTCGGGTAATTTGCATTAGGGTAGGTAAATAAAAAGCTTAGGGGTCCTAGCAGGTGTAGTAACAAGGCCAGCGTGGCGTAATTTCTTCCTGTTACACACAGCACTAAACACAAGGGGACCCCAGCTCGCCTGCTTTGCAGGTGCTGTTGCAGGACCAGCACAGGTTTATTCCACTGCTCTGTCTGGGTTCAGTTAAGCCGCTGTTAAAGTGAAGCCTTTGCAGAACTGGAGCTGTTCATCGAGTTGCCTGTGGGATGCTCGGTTGCGGTGTAAATCACGACCACACCGACAGTGGTAGTGCTACACCTAGGAGCAGGTACACTCTGTATTCGCGTGGTGGTTCCTGTGCGTCGCTTACTGGCGCAGGCGGCTTCAGGAGCCAGCAAACAGCAGATTTTTGGAGGCACATGTAGCAACCGTAAGCCCCCACTGAAATACTGTCTTCAGCTTGGATTTAACATCCTTCGTCTCCATAGCTACAAGGTTCCACTTGTAAAAGGATAGATGTGCACTGTACAGCACTTAAAAATGGTAAGGGAAAAATGCTTGAAGTCTCCAGCAGTGGCAAGGGTTTATGTTTGGGGGGAAAAAAAAGGAAAATGGAGTGGCTCATCATTGACTAATTTACCCGTATTTGTGGGAAAGCTGTTACTCTACAAGTGAAACACAGCTCGGGCCCATCCTCCTGTAGGTCTGACTTGCTCATGTGTTGTGCTCAGGCTGAGGTGTCTCCCAAAAAAGCGCCGCTCGGGGGGGGAGGAGGGTGTCTGATTGTCAATATGAAGGTGGAGGAGGTTTCAGTATTTGTTGCTTACAAGTTTAACGATTTTTCTTTTTAATTAATATATTTTTCAAATGGTTGTCTGCTTTCACATGTATGCCCACACACACACCTGTCAGCAGCCAAGGTGTCCAAAAATCGTGTCTTTCAGGAAAGAAATAATGGCTCAGTTCCATTGAAACCTGGGAAAGATGCCTGAACATCCTCGGCTGCTGGTAGTTGGTGATAATGAATGGTTTCTGAGCGCGGCCTAGGGTTGTGTGAGCGCTCCTGTTACATCCCCAGTGCCGAGTTTGTTTTCAGAAGTATCCAGCTCATCTCATCCACAAACCCCTCCTTTTCCATGGCAGAACTGGCCTTGAAATGGCATGCTTCGGTATTTATGCAGGTTCTCTATTTTCCAGCACCTACGCAGGGGCAGCGTTTGCTGTTGTTTTAAGTCCAGAGAGCTTTCAGAGCGATTTCTAGCCCGTAACAAAGGCAGGCAGGCGTGGGAGAGCTGCCCTGTGCTGTTCCTTGCACACAGGTATGGTCGATGCGGCTGTTTGTTCAAGTCTGTGCTTTAGGACTTAATTCTTGTGCTCCAGAGAGAGCCAGAGTCAGGCATGCTGTAAATGGGAGCAACTCTCTTGGCATCAGTGGGATTATAATCACTGACACCTGGCCTGTGATATTCTACTTAGTCTGTTGGCAAGGGTTTCTGAAATAACTGCATACTTATGGTTTTGGCTCTCGCCATCCAGTTAGCAGAATGCTGCTATCTCATTTTGCCATTTGCTTTGCATTGTGCATGTGCATCTTATCCCTTCTCTCTTTCATATTTATTTGTACATTTGCTGAAGATCTGGGAGCCATAAAAAGCAATTTCATAAACAGAGCTATAATATTATGTATTTCATACGTACCACACACAAAGTATCTGCGTATAGCACTCTGTGAAGGTGTATGGGGAGAAGGAACTGTGCTACATTTCCTTCTTTCTGCTGGAACGTTGTTCGTCTCCTGTTCCTCTGGCTGCAGTTACAAAGCAAACAGCCTCCAACCAACCAAGGGAACATCTTTTCTGCGTTCACTGAGCACAGCTGATGTGAAGCCCTCAGAGGAGGCGGCTGACACAGACCCTGGGAGGTGACTTTTCGCACCTCCACGTCTCACTGTCCAAGCAAACCCCAGCGCTCGACAAACAGCCCCACCTGTTCACATCTCTGCACGATGCTCCTGTGCTTTGACTGCAGTGAAAACCGGGTGCTTGTCACTTGCGTTCATACGTGTTGAATCAGTCACTCAAAATCATGTTTGCTTTGAATTCTGCTTCGTCCCCTCGTACCAGTGGGAAGTAGATTGAGAAAGGGATGCAGCATATGCAGGCTCGGTTGGCTGCTGTTGGCCTTCTCCTTTTGAGCCTAAGTTAAAAGGAAATGTTGACATGTAGCTGTTGCTTATTATTCATTTATTAAACACCGTTACTGTCTTGTTTGGAACAAGATGCAGAAAGGGAAAAACAAAGTAGTCTCCATGGCCCAGAAAGTGTTGAGTGGCAGGTTCCAGTTCATGCAAGGGCGTTCATGGGTCTGTAACTCAGCTTTGGAAGGGCTGCCCAGGAGCTGAGCATGAACTCATGGGGAGCTGTGACCTCGCCAGGGAAATAACTCAATGATTTGGCAGATTTTTCTCTTTTTTTTTAAGAGCTGTGATTGTATTTCCTTTGGTCATCAGCCTTGTGTTTTTGTAAGGAATGCCTAGCAAGGACTTCATGGCAGAGCTGTAAGTTCATTCTGTCTTAGGGAATTGCAGAAGGAGGTGATTCCACAGGTCGGGAATTGCAAAGAGAAGGATTTGGGAGGTGATGAGCGAGGAGCATGGGAAGCAGTAGCTGTTAAAGAGATACCCGCTGTCATCATTTGAGGGCCGAAGCGGTGCGGTTGTCTTCCCAGTGCCTCTGTTTTGGAGCGCTGTAGGCTGGGCATTATGAATGTAGCTTTCTCGTATCCTCCCGGGCCACGGCTCCTCCTCTGCCTTTCCTGCTCCACCTCTCTGGGCTTATGGATGGACCTTACATCCTCGCTTGAGTTGTGAACTGAAGGGTGAATCAATCTCGCGAAGCTCTGTCATAAGCCCTGTGTTTGTCTTGGGAGAGTAAGCAAAGGCGAAGCTGCTGGTGCTTTTCCTCAGTGCCGTATATCTGGAAGAAATATGTCAGAAGTGGTGCAGAGGTGAGCTCTTGTAGGCACGGGGCCAGTGAGAGGTTTGAGGCGAAGGTGAATCTTAGAAATTTCTTCAGAATTGGGACCAACGGTAGAAATTGGTGTTTGTTGCCATTCAGAGCCTTCGTTAGCGTCGTTATTGCAAATATCCTGTGAGTGTACAGAAAGCTGTGCTATAGCAGGACTAGTGATGTAGCAGCAAATGCTGTACTGGTGTGTAGCACTGGTATTCCTGTTGTAACTGTTGCTCAGGTCCCATGAGGGATTCCTGCCTTGCTGAAGCAGATGCAGTTTGCCCGCTCCTCTCTTTTCCTTT